CGAACACACACACACACACACATATATATATATATATATTGATTGGGAAACATTATAAATAAAATAAATAAAAATAAAAAAGGAGAGAAAAAAATAATGGCATTTTTTGGTAAATTTGAAGATGTATAAAGGGCATTTTCGGCCTAAAAGTAGACATACTCTCTATATAGGCGTGTGACTCCCACAACCCGTTATCTTAGACAGAAAAACTAACGGTACATTTTGGTCCATAAATTACGTGGGGGTTACGTGTGATTTTTGAACGTCAGGGGTAATCAGCACCTGACCCAAACCACAGGGGTAAAGTGAAGTTTGCCCAAAATAAAAATAAAAACATGGATGATTGGATATCTCACAACTACAAAGAACATATCACAAATCCAAAAGAAATCAAACAAACAAGCAAACACGGTCAATCAGAGCAACAAAAAATCAAAACAAGTGCTAATTAAAAGAAAGAGATAGAATGAGAGAGAAACTCACCAGGCTGGAGAACCACTGTGGTCAATGCCGACGGAGATCACTGCCGCTAGAATCGTGGTCATCGCTGCTGCAGAAATGAAAACGCTAGCTATTGTTTACGGGGTATGTCAAAATATATGGAGAAATGGTACAGTTACCCAACCCTGAGAGTCCGACCCGACCTGACCAATGAGTAGGGCAATGGGAAAACCGGGGGGATTTTCATTCCTATCCCCTAATGGCTTTGGTTTTTAACTGACCCGACATGAGCCCCTTTTTTCACAACCAAATACACATTTAATTAATTAATTAAGAAGCTAATTTTAAAGTAATGGAATTTATAATTTTCAAACAATCAAATAAGTTATTAGTAATTGAAGAAAAAAAATATAATACAACTCAAAAAAAAATGTGCTACTGGTTTTGAAAGGGCAAAAAAAAAAAATCAAAAATCAGAGAAATAGAATCACTACAACTAAATTTCAATGAACCCAATCAAGACTCAAAGAATATATTCATTCTATAATTGAAGCATCAATTCCTACAATAACCAGTTTACTTTTACCATCATTCATTCTAGTGCCTTAAGACCGTTCGAATTGCATGTCAGGTTTTGGGAATTCAAAACTTGAACTTGTGAAGAGAACACAAGAGGGAAAGTAAAGATTACCCATAGCTTCAACACACCCATCTTAGAGAAACAATTACTATGCGCTAGAGAGAAGGGAAAAAAATAGAGAATGAGAGAGAGAGAGAGAGAGAGAGAGAGAGAGAGAGAGAACCGAAACTGTGGTCAGAGCCGACGGAGAGAACGACCGAGAGAATGAGAGAGAGAGAGAGAGAGAGGCTCACCTAGCCGAAACTGTGGTCAGAGCCGACGGAGAGAACGACCGTTGGAGATCACCGTTGCCAGAGGAGTGAGAGAGAGAATACAAAACCCTAAGGCCCCGTTTGTTTTGGGAGATAGAGAAGAAATTGGGTTTGAGATGGAGGTGGACTCACTAATGTTGTGTTTGTTTTGGGAGATGGAGAGAGGATTGAGATGGGCCTCTGGATTAGACTGGAGGTTGGTGAAGGGATTGAGATGGAGGTAGGAGAGTTGGTGTTAGAAGTTAGTCCTCTGCCTTATTAGTTTTTTTTTTTTTTAAATTTACATGTTGAGCTTTTTTTTTTTTGAACATTAATGTTTAATGTTTTTGTATTTTTTGTTAAGTAAAAATCATAGTTTTATTTGCTTTAATATTTTATATTTCTTTTATAGGGTAATAATTTAACAATTCCCACACTAACAACTATAATCAAAACAAACACAATTATACTTAATCCCCTCACTATCAATCTCCTCCGCTCTACTTCTGAAAACAAACGGGTCCTAACTGTTTGTCAAAGAGAGAAAGAGAGAGTGCAGTAGAAAACAAAATCATAACTAACTAAGGGATTTTTTTTTTTTTAAACTAACTAAGGGGTTGTTTGGACTCCCTTATTTTAACTCATCTTTTTTATTTTCATTTTATTTTATTTGGTGACATCACTTTTTTCGTTTGGCAATTTTGGTTGGGGCTAAATTAGTCACTAAAATGCAAAACAGTCTAAAAATTAATAAGATAAAATGTCACATCTTAACTATAATTATTTCACTTTTTATTTTACAAAAATTAAAAAAGTCAATCAAAATGAACTTTTTAGTCTCAAACTAAAATAAATAACAAGTCAACTAAAAAAGTCAATTGCTAAATGAAAACTCTACCACTTTACACATTTTTTATGAAAAATAAAAAATATATATATACTTATTTAGATAATCTAAAAGGTTCTCTAATTTTATTCATTCGGGGGCAAAAGTAGCCTTGAACACTGGCTGCTAATTGTTGACAAGTTAATGTAGTTTCTGTTTTCTAAAAAATAAATAGATTTCTCACAAATTGATATAACTAATTTTTACCATAACCCATCTAATAAATAAATAAAAAATTACCAAAAAAAATCATGACTTTCTCTTAGGGTGATCACTGATAGGGTTGGATCGGGTGACATTCCATCCGTTATCTGTCCAAAATTAGATGGATTAAAAAAAATTAATCTGCATCCATCCACTGGTTAGGCGGATGGAGATTGAATGAGCCATGCGAGTTGGCGAATGGATAAGATCAGTTTAGTGGTTTGGATATTTTTTTAAATTATAATTATAACTTTTATAATCTTCAATAATTAGTAATTTGAAAAAATATGTATTATTTGTCTATGATAGGCCATGACACCACGCATGTATATTTTTAAGATATTGTTTTCTATTTTAACAAAAATATATATTTTATTATTTCTATTCTATGTTGTTACTTGTTAGTAATTTCTTCTTCTTCTTCTTTTTGTTTATTTATTTTTATTTTTTGACTTCATCTACTAGCAGATCAAGTTCATGTAGGTGCAAGATAGTTGATCTGCCATCCGAACCTTATCAGCGAATTTTGAAATATTTCATCCACATTCATCCACTAAAAAACAAGTATCCATCTAAAATTAATCGGATTGAATCAATTCAGTCGAGTTAGACAAACCAGACGGATCTATAATCACCCCTACTATCTCTTGTATACACCCATTTAAGGATAATTGAGACTGCAAGAATTTTGTCTATACATTTTTGTAATCAACTTTTTCAAATTTACAAAATTTTAAAAACAAAAATAAAAACCGAATGAATTTTTATTTAAAATTTTTAAAAATTCAATAAATATAAATAAAAAATTATAAAAATAAATATTACCAAATAAACAGCTAACATTTGATTATATCCACGATCTTGAATAAATAAATAAAGACATTTGTTAGCTCAAATCTAATAAGAGCCGATTTAAGACGGATGTTGGGTGGATATTGTCACACCAAGACATGCTCATGGTTTATTCCAAATATATTTTGATAATTCAAATCGTTTACGTAAAATCATGTGATCTTTTTATAAGCTACTACTTGACAAATTTTATGATATGAACGATTTGAATTATCAAAATAGATTGGAGTCACCTCAGACTTCATAGCACCAACACCGCACTTCGGTTAGACAAAATAAACAGGGGAGGGGGAAGCTTCTAGAAATTTCCTCATCCTCTTTTGTTGATTTCAGTGAAGGCTCAGTAACGGAATTCTCAATTTATTGTGGCACAAATGTAAAAACCCACATAACTGCATGACCTAGATCTTTTTGTGGCAATGCCACATATGGCTTGGACTAGAGAAAAATTGAATGGATGAGGAGGCTCTATTTTTTATGCTTTTTTGAGTAATAGCACTGCTGCAACACGAGAAAACATCCTTTTTACTACAATATAAAAGCTAATTTTTTGAGTTGGCTATTGGAATTCATTCTAAAAAACAAAAAGGGAATGTTATTGAGAGGGAAGAACAGAAATAAGCCAGAAATTTCCACATATAGGGTAGAGCACTGGAGATGCTTTCAATTCCCCCAAGAAGCTGCAATGGCAACAGCTTCAACTTCGGCTGATCAGACGGTGAGCAACTCCTTACTCTGGTGGTGTGGCTCCTCCACGCTCTTACTCGCTGAATGACCTCCCATCGCACCTAGTAGAAGCAAAATATACCAGAGCCCCACAAGTAAAGGCAATATAACTGAGGGCAAATTACTCACAAAAGACTACAAAAAGTACGCTTTGCAATGTGATTGTAGGACTGGACCTTGCTTGACCCCGACGTTTGAAGAATTAAGTGAGTGGTATTTCTAATAAAGCTATGTTACACTTGTTTTGATAAATCTGGTTTTGCCTTGTCTTGGAAAGTATTTGATTTAGCATGGATGACTATCCCTATTTTGTATATTAAAGGCTATCTTGCTTTGATGACATTTCTTGAAAGTCCTTAGTTGCAGGGGACTATAATGCAACTGCACTCTTGTCTTGACAGTCCTTAGTGCTAGAGGACTCTAAACTTTCGCAGCACAGCTTGTCTTGAAAGTCCTTAGTTGCAGGGGACTATAATACAACTGCACTCTTGTCTTGGGAATGTCATCACCTTCTTGTATTAAGTAGATGTAATAACATCTAAAGAACTTGAAAGGCCGGCAATGAACTTGATTTCCCTCTTGATTGTAGAGTATGTTATGTATTGTTTTGAAAGAAATCTTGGATATCAATCATGCAAACCTTTATTTCTAATATCGTTCACTGAGTATCCAAGCTCACCCTCTCTATATATATGTAGGTGATGAACAAGAAGGCATTGAGGCCTAGACGCGATTGCCGACGTGTTTTGGGCGCATAGCCGACATGTTTTGGATTTGTGTTTTGCATCGTCTTGAAGATTATGCTTCTCGGCTTATGTTTTCTTTGTTTGTTTTGGCATATGTCGGCTTGAGAAGCCTTTTGGTCAAGATGTGTTTTGTATTTTATTTCCTTATTTTATTTAAGTTGTAAGACCTTATAAAGATGTATGTCTTTTCATTTGACTTATGCACTGCTCTTATGGACCACTTGTATCTTGAATTATTGCTCCCGCATTTGTGAGCCCCCTATATAAATACTCTGATTGTGTGTGATTCTTGTAAGTTGGCCTTCGGTAATTACGGATTACTGGCCATCACGGCTCCAAACTACTAGGGGCGGTTTGGGGGCGTGACAAACATTCTCAATAAATTCCCAGTAAATTCTCAGTAAATTACTTAGTAAATTCTCAGTAAATTACAAATTAAATTCCCAAGAAATTCTCAGTAAATTATTCAGTAAATTCTCAATTAATTGCTCATTAAATTCCTATTAAATCCTTAGTAAATTATTTAGAAAATTCGAAGTAAGTTTTTCATAATTTCACGAGCAACCTGAATGCCATGCCGAAAACAACCTTCTACAAAAAACTAACAATCCCAAATAGAAAAAACTCAAAACAATTTTCAAGAATTCTATAAATGTAAATGAAAAATTATAAAAATAAATATTACCAAATAAACAGTTAACATTTGATTATATCCACGATCTTACATAAATAAACAAAGACAGTATAAGATGGATATAGGGTAGATATTGTCATAAGACATGCTCATGGTTTGTTCCAAATATATTTTGATAATTCAAATTGTTTATATTATAGGATTCGTCGAGTATATTATTCATAAAATCATGTGATCTTGTTATAGGCTACTACTTGACAAATCCTATAATAAGAACTACTTGAATCATCAAAATAGATTGGAGTCCCACCTCAGACTTCATTGCACCAACACCCCACTGCGGTTAGACAAAATAAACAGGGAAGGGGGAAGCTTCTAGAAATTCCTCATCCTCTTTTGTTGATTTCAGTGACGGCTCAGTAACGGAATTCTCAATTTGTTGTGGCACAAATGTAAAAACCCACAAAACTGCACGACCTAGATCTTTTTGTGGCAATACCACATATGGCCTGGACCAGGGAAAAATTGGATGGATGAGGAGGCTTTATTTTTTTACGCTTTTTGAGTAATAGCACTGCTGCAACACTAAAAAACATCCTTTTTACTGCAATATAAAAGCTAATTTTTCGAGTTGGCTATTGGAATTCATTCTAAAAAGAAAAAAAAAAAAAACAGAAAAGGGAATGTTGTTGAGAGGGAAGAACAAAAGAACAGAAATAAGTCAGAAATTTCCACATCTAGGGTAAAGCACTAGAGATGCTTTCAATTCCCCCAAGAAGCTCCAATGGCAACAGCTTCAACTTCTACTAATCAGAAGGCGAGCTTACACGCTCTTACTCGCTGAATCAAATCGCACCTGGTAGAAGCAAAATATATCAGAGCCCCACAGGTAAGGCGATATAGCTGAGGGAAAATTACTCACAAAAGACTACAAAAGCATCTTGAAAGCCAAAGGACCTCAAACTTGAAAGCGTCTTTTGTTAAGATCCCCACTAACTATAAACTTCTCCCAGAGGACTAATTATTAATTTTCCCATTTATTAATTAATGCCACTGTACATAATAAATATATATAATAAAAAAAAGGAGGTAAAAATAACAAGTACATGAATCTTCAAGTCATTTATAACATATATGAATTTAAATAATGATAATAATAATAATAAATTCTAAAATGAACATAAATCAAGCTAAAGCTCATGTTCTCAAACTCGTAATTGTGGTCTTATAGGACTTATCGAGAAAATCATTTCATACCAAAAAACAAAACATATTGATCAGGTATCAATAATCACAATCAAATCATATTTGTCACTAAAAAAATAAGCAATTTATTCTCAAAATAATATCTGCTGTTCATTTTTTTTTTTATAACAAATGCGAACCGATCATGTTATTTCCAATGTCCTGACATTTTCATGGATGATTTACCTGTCAAGCCCTGCAATGTGAACTGTTTGGATAGACCCAAAATAAATGTTTCTATTGCAACTGTTCAGTTTATTGACCATAAACCAAATATCTAGCACAAGATTGCCTCTAAAGTGTGATGGTAAAGGAAAGGCATTTACCCTGCCTTAACAAAATATGTCAGCAATGAATGTCTTCATTCTGGGAAATTAAGACTCACTCCATAAACAACCTCATCCACAAAAATTGCAAGATAACAATCAAGCATTCAAACTTTTCACATCACAGACCCTCTCCTTTTTGCAAAGAATTAAATAGAAACTTTGGCAAGTCCGTGTCGTGTCCATGTCAGAGGACACTAGTGTCCAACACTCCCCAACAAGGGTCCAACACTCATCAAAATGTGCCCTATATTTTTTTTAAAAAAAAAAAAAAAAAATTTGAACCCGAACGCTTTTCGGCAACTTGGAGGACACGTGTGCATCACTTAAACACACATGTCAATCAATTAGACAAACATAAAACTAATTATAAGTCTGAATTAATTAACTTAGGAAACATACAATAACAAAAGAAAATTAATACACGTTTATAGCAATTAGTATTAAACTGCATCTTTTTATTACCTTTCAATGGTGTATTCATGTATGACATATAACAAATATATAATACATTTTGTACATCTTTCTTACTTGTCGTGTCCTACATGTTTTGAAAATTGACGTGTCGATGTATCGTATCTATGTCGTGTCACGTCGGGTGTCCGTATCCATGCTTCTTAGGTCTTTTGCGTGTAGATGTGTGTTGATCAAACATGTCCTCTCAGCCATTCCTAAGTATCTGTTGCCAGATTTCACGGCTCCTAAATATTTCATTTCACAAGTAAAGAGTGTATTAACTATGTCCGTGTGGGATATTAAAGAGGGTAGAGGGTCGTATAATACAACTTGTATTTGGTGTTTAGGATTATGGGTTCTTCAATCAAGCTCTGCTTGCCAAACATGTGTTGCGAATTATTTCATTTCCAACTTTGTTCGTCTTTGGTAAAGTGTTTTCTGCTAAGTACTGTGTAATAAAAACTTTCTAGAGCTTAAACCGAAATCAGGTTATACTCTAGGCTAGCATAGGATTCTCTGTGGGGAAAGGAACTGCCAAAAGGGATCGAAGATGGGTTGTGGGAATAGGGCAGAACAGGCACAATGGATCCCAATCTTGCAGAATCTGTACTGCAGAATGGGCAAAGGGAAATTAATTCAATCTTACATGTCTCACACCTCATAGATTGCGAGTCCAGGACTTGGAGGAACCCCTGGTTCGTACTCTATTCCAAATCAAAGTGACATCTAGAAAAATTTGTGGGGGTTCCAAAATGGGCCCTCTTTCTCTGGAAACTCCTTCACTGCACTATACCTGTTAAATCTATTCTTACTAATAGAGGCATGGAAAAGAATAAGAATTGTCCTAGATGTGGAAGGAGGAGGGAAACGATGGATTGTTTTGAATGCATCCATTTCAAGTGGGTATGAAAGGGATTAGTGCTGGGCTTAGACTTTGAGCAAGGTCAGGCTGTAAACTTTTGAGGAATGGTTTAGAAGTTGGCTATGGCTGGCACCAGATAGGGATGCAATTATTTTTATTATTATTTAACTCAATATCTGGCCATCTTGGCCGGAAAAAAATGCCATCTTGGCCAAACAAAGTGCCGACCGGCACAAAAAAGTGCTGACCATCTGGCCCAATGGACCGACTAATCTGGAGAACCAATCCCACTGTCCACTAGCGAGAAGCCCAATTAAAGCCTTATCTTATGGCAACTTGGTTACATCGGAAATGGGTTTGTTTTGATAATAACTTGGTTCTCGTAAGAAATACAATAGAGTTAGTAAAGCAATTATGGGCATTCTAATCCAAGGCCAAGGATTCAGACTTTAAGTGTAGACAAATATACTATCCTAATTATGGACTGTGGAAGGATGATTACACTGACTTTTATTTACATTCTCATCATCTTCTTTATAATGCAGATGAAAATAGAAAGCTCGTTGCAGTGGATGCAGCTTGGGTGTGAGACTCATGTGCAACAGGGATGGCTTGGGTAAGCTTAAACTATTTGGTAAGAGAGGAGGATCAACAATGTAGGTCTCTGTTCACATCCTCTCTGCTAGTAGCAGAAGCCAGAGCTTGCTTAGCAGCTGTACAGTGGTGCATGCAGGAAGGTTTCAGGGCAGTTGAAATTTGGACTGAGTACAAGGTGTTAGTCCAGGAGTTAATTGAAAGAAGATCAACAAACAGAGAAGTTGATTCCATAATCCAGGATATTTTATGGTTATGTACTGTGTTTGGCTATATTGAGATTAGGAAAGTAGATAGGATCAGGACCATGTTTTGGCCAAAGCAGCCTGAGGCTCAAGAAGCTAACTATAATTGATGTATGGATGTCCATCATACATATATATTACTTCTGTATTTTAAACTGCAAAGGGAAGAAACACTAGAATACTAATTGGGGATATTTTTGGAAACTAAGCAATAGAATGGGAGTTATTTGCATAATCAGAAATTTAGAATGAGGTCAAGGTTACCCTCTCCCATCCCCAGACTGGAACAGATTCACCCTTGCTGACCCCAAACCTGACTCATGGCCCCACACAAGTCACATTAGGGTCAGGTGGGCTGCAGTTTTTGCCATCCTAGGAAAGACGCTTTTTTTTTCTTCTTTAAGTGGCATTTTCAAGTGCCATTAAAAATAAAACTGTAAACAATTTTAATTCCATAAATCTATTTATTATTAATTTCTAATGCTAACAACAACACGACTTTGATAAATGCGACAGGAAAAGGAAAAAAAAAATGTATCACTAACATAAAGAAAATGCAAACTTTAGAAGAGTCCTCACGTTTAGCGGTGCATCCATACAGACATCCTTCAACCCGAATGAAGTCATTGTACTTGACCACTGTATCTAACGAGCAAAAAAAAAAAACGTCTAGTCAACAAAAAGTTAAATAAGCCAACAATCCAAAAGTCAAATGTAAATTTAAATAAAATCAAATAAAGAAAATGTGTTTACCACGAAGACCGATGAATGTAGAAGGGGCATGCAAGTTGTAGAACGACCATACAGGAATTCCAGTTGGATCGAACTCGATATGCTGGAGATGAGGAAAACATTTCGCAGCCACTTGACAAATCCCACGCTGACTATAGAGATGAATAAGGCCATCGTCGTTCAGACGACAAACGATTGATCTCACTCTGTCCAAGAACATGTTTGCTTTCGGGTGAGCAAGCATGTCTTCAGTTATAGCTAAAACAACAAAGTTCAATAAATAAATAAATAAAATAAAATAAAATTTGTCAACTGTGGGTCTTTTACTGCAATTTGATTCACAATACTCTCATGCACAATGCGTCTTAACGTGACATTTCTATAAATAACATTTATCCAAATTGTTGTAACAAACAATATATCTACAAGTATATACTTAAAATAATTTCAATTATAAAAAAATTATAACTTCTTTAGGGCAATTTGATTCACAATACTCTGAATACACATTAATACACATTAGCCATTAGATGAAGATCATGGACATCGTAGTGGTGCCGTGTCTACTCGTATGGTCCATATTAAGGACATACTGAAATATCATAAACATGGATGCTAAATGGGGCAATGTACCGTAAGATTTTATTTATTGTTAATACCATCTGATGAAAGAAATCTATACAAAAACAAACAAATAAATAACAATATCAAGTAGGAAGTGGAAAAGAGCTCATTAAAAAAATAAATATAGCAAGAATTATTTGTCAATTGTAATATGTATGTTAAATACCTACATTACATTACCACTACTAATTAGACATAAGCATAATAAGATCTCATTAAAAAAGTAACAATTCATATCAGAATTAGAAGAACTATTAAAAAATTCCATCCATAAATTCCTAAGAGGAAAACCAAAATAGAGAATAAATATCTATTGTCTATATATTTTCTTTTGACTTGATAGTTTTTTCATCATTCATAATGCAAACCTTCATAATTTGTTACTTCAAACTTTGCTCGTGCAACAACCTGCCTCTCATCTGCTGCTAATCCAGCAACTGTCTGTAATCAATGGTAAATTGCAAAGGAGAGCAATAAGCAATGTTCATCAATCATCTTTTAGCAAATAAAAACCTAAAAAAGAGGAAACACAGAGAATGAGAGAAAATACATAAATCTTCTTAGCTACCTATTTGTAGAATAAACAATAAAACAATTTAAATAAAAGACAGTTACAGATCAAAACCATTGAAGCTGACTACCTGAGAGAACTAAAACAAATAAAACAGTTATAGATCCGATAACTAAGAAAAAAAAAAACATAGATCGAAATCAAAATCATCCAAAACAAGCTTGAGTCAGACCAATAAAAGAGAAGAGCACCTAGATCAACAATGGAAATCGAAATCCTAAGCAACTGTTTCAGTCAATCAAAGGAAATCAAACTAATAGAATGTAAATCAAAACAGATCTAGATTGCTACTGTGCAGTCATGAAAAGCCCTTTCAAAAAGATCCACTGCATTTTTTAAGCGCCGTGAAGAACGAAACCCTAGATAAATGAAAATCAAGGGAGATAGAACAATATCGAAGAGAGATCGAATAATCTCGAAAAAAATTAGTCAAATCGAGGGCACAAAACAAGATTCCAAAATAAAAAAATAATGAAAAATGATTGAGACAAAAAATCTAAGGTTTTGATCTACAATAAGAATAATGAAAAACGATTGAGATAAAAGATCTAAGGTTTTGATCTACAATAGACTTACTTGAAATCTTCATCATCAGTTGCTTCGTCAATATCTACAAAGAGAGCTTCATTCGTGCCATTTTAGAGAGAGAATAATGTTGGAAAAGGAGAAAGGGAGGGGAGAGGGGGAGAGGGTGATGAGTCTGTGACTGTGATGTTCGGAAAAAAAGTGATATTCGAGTTTGAGTGGCAGAGGTTTGTTTTTTTTCTTCTTTTTTTTAACTCATTAATTAACTGGTAGGGTTAAGCATCAGCGAAGGCACGCGTCTTGGAAACGCATCTTGGAAAGCGAGAAATAAAGACGTTTTCAAAAAGCGTCTTTTTCCAAGCGCCGTGACAATGAATTTTTCTTGTAGTGATTGCTTTAATTAGCCATGTTGTTTTGATGTGATTGTGCTATTTTTCAATGTGTTCTGGTCTCCAGACAAATGTGGGCTCCAGACAGATGCCAAGTTCATTAACCATTTTTATTATTTCTGTAATCAGGAAGATTCCTATTTGGAAAGTTACATTAGCACTATTGGAGTTGACTTCGTAAGAAATCTTTTTTATTTCCCTTGGTTTGGGTTACTGATTACCTTAACATAGATTGTAAAGTTGTAAATTATTCTTATGTTCTCTTCTGTAGAAAATCCGCACAGTTGAGCAGGATGGAAAACCATTAAACTCCAGATTGTAAGTTTTAAGTGCGTTATTAGTTTGTTCTGTCTATGAAAGCTGTAAATTTCAGTTTCAGCTTTGATTTAGTGTTTGATTGGGAATCTGTGTAAATAAGGAATGCCATATAAACATTTCTTTGCCATAGGATGGAAATTTTGCATAAAAGTATGCTTAAATTCTGTAAAAATTTGAAGGATAGCTTTATTCGAAATGAAATCCAGAGAATTCACACTCTTGAGATTATATGTTAATTATATTACAATTTTGTTTTTAGTCAAAATTTATTGTGATGTTTTCTTCAACATGGTGTCCCATAAAGTTAGGTATCTTTTCTTTTGAGTTTTTTCTACTTGGGATTGTCAGTTTTCTGTAGAAGGTTGTTTTCAGCATGGCCTTCAGGTTGCTTTAACTGATGAATTTGTTTATTATGTCGTTTTCAACATGGGTATCACTCTTTTTTATTTCTTCCGTATTTAGATGGGCAATTGATATTATCAAATATTAGTAATGAGCTGATTTCTTCTCTCCCAATAACTCCCCTTTTGGAGAGATTAAAAAAAATGGGTTTTCAGAGAAATCTTTTTCTCTTCATTTCTTCCCATTTCTCTCCTTTTAAGTAGCCAAGAGACATATTCCAACGCCTTCGCTCATGCCCCAACAATCTTCCAGATGGAAGTTGAGATGATACGAACTTAATCCCCTTGAGATTTCTTTATTCAGCACAAACTCATAATAAGCTGACATAGTTTGCGCTTTATCAGCCTGATTAAATGCAATAGGCAACATAGCATACTTTACAGATGCTAAGTCTGAAACACCATTAATATGAACAAACCCTAAACGAGTTCCACTAGAACCACCATGGGCAGCACCACTGACAGATACAGCTATCTTTTCTATGTATAACTTAACAGCTCCTTCAGTCGCTTCCACTGAAAATAGGCGATCTACATCAAACACACACTACAAGAAAAGTTGCCTATAATGGCGCTTGAATCAAAGACGTTTCATAAAACGCCGTGCTATATCTCAATAGCCAACACGTTTTCGAGGCGTGATGCCCTGTTGATGGTCTCAATGAGCCAAACCTATTTTACTTAACAAACACTTAATCCATTCCAATTACCATAGGTAACAAAATCTCTCATGAGCTACTCTTCGCTCTTAATATCAATCTCTTACTCACTGTAGTTGTTCTTCATCGGACTCGAATTCGATCTTTCTCACTCTAGATGTTCTTCATCTCTCTCTCTCTGTCTCTCTCTCTCTCTGTCTATCTCTCTCACAAATCGCAGATCCAAAATCGAACAAGAAAGTCGATCTAATCTGATCGAAATCCAAACTCGATCTGATCTGATCTCTCTTGCATTTTGTTAGATCGGTTCTTGCTCTAGCTTTTCTTCATCGAACTTGAACTCGATCTGTCTCGCAGATTGTAGATTCAAAATTGAACAAGAAAGTTGATCTAATTTGATCAAAATCCGAACTCGATCTGATCTGATCTCTCTCGCATTTTGTTAAATCTGCTGATTAACAAGGTTTCAAGCAAGTCGTTTTTATTTTTTTTTTCATCAACAAGTGTTAATCGATGTTTGATTTCTCTGTAGGTGTCAATGAAGTGTAGAGATTGGTTACATGAACTTTTTTTTTTATGGATTTCCGGAGTTGTCCCTAACTGCTGGAAGACTTGTAGTTTTCTACAAACAGAGAGATTTGTACTTCTATCCAGCTTGGGTATATGCAATCCCAGCCACCATTCTGAAGGTTCCTATTTCATTGTTTTCAACTCTAATTTGAACATCTCGTTGGATACAGTCCTGAGGCTGGGAGGTTAGTGTCACTTGACAACGCTTGCATTTTATTCTTCGTTATATATATATATATTTTTTGTTTTTCTCCAAATATGTTTTTGATTTGAACAAGTTGTCACTGTTTTACCAATATTTAAATCGACTACTCAGATTAGTCATTTAGAAACCAGAAGCTTTACTGGTACTTTCAAATAAACATTCACACCATACACAAACACACCCTTCTGAAACTGAATAGGAATTTTGAATTAATTTCTATCATTGCCTTGTATCTTAGGTTCTTTCTCCAGTGCATTCTATTTTTAGCTCTACACTTAGTAGCTATATCCATGTTTCGTTTTGTGGCATCTGTCTCCCGCACCGCTGTTGCTTCTACAACAGCTGGTAGTTTGTTTGTATTTTTTGTCTTATTATTTAGTGGCTTCATCATCCCAAAATGTAAGATTTCATAACTCTTCCAATCTGATTTTTGGATAATTATTTAGGAAGATGAACTTAGTCAAGCTATCTTGTTATTGGAAATGATTCAATAACTTCTTCCTTCAATCTGTTCTGTTCCCAGTTTCATTATATTATTTATGGCGATTATTTCTTTAGCTATGTGAGTTTTTACTTCAAATCACATACCATACAATCATATATACATACTTTGTGTATTT